AACCACTATCCGGACCTAGGACGAAATCGAAGGCACTTTGGATGCAGATGTGTACAAACTCCGCCGGTTTCACGCCAACCAACAAGGACTTAAACACATATGTAATAAGAATGAATGCCCTACAACGTCGGTTGGTACATCAGCACAGCACAAATGAGGAACTCATCATATACACGAGGGTACTCATTTGGAAACTACTAGGTGGGTTATTGTTCCCCTCCACTAATGGGAACAAAATAAAATTGTACTTTTTAGAGTTGTTGCAGGGACCACTCGGTGATGCACGACGTAGAGTTGGGGCTCAGCTGTATTGGGATACCTGTATCACAACATGTGCAAGGCCGCCAAAGCTAACAGAAAAAATATTGGGGGATGCTTGCTTCTATTACAGATTTGGGTGTGGGAGAGATTGCTCATGATGTCGCGAAACGTTTTGCCATATGAGAATCTACAGGATAAGCCCCATGGTTGTAGGTATTATTTGAAATTTTACATAATAAATATTAGTATATTAAATATATCTGTTGTTCACAGTATAATAACTTATTTTTATGAAGGTGGGCGTGTCGGCACAATTGGGAACAAAGTTCTCGGCATACTCTGCGTCTTTATCGAGATCAGTTGGACGGGATCCGAGAGAACGAGGTTATAATTAACATTATCATTTTAGTTTAATAAAAAATTAATATGTTTTTAAATTAACTTAAAACAATATTGATCTAGTTCGTGTGGCTCCCATATGTATTACAAGCCCTCCCCCGCTTCTGTGTCTCGGGAATAGAATTGTGGACAACTAATGTCATGCTTATATTTTTTGACATTTCTAAGATGTACTACCCCGGTAGATTTTATCCTCAATTCCGTGCAATGCGACATGTTCCTCCCACAGTGGAATCATAAGCTAGACACCATGCAAGTGGTGCAAAAAATTATGGATGGCCATTGACACTATGAGAGGAAAGGCACACCCGCCGTCGTATCGCAATTGAGTTTGTTGATGATCCCACCTACACCCCTGTGTACCGTGAATGGTACAAAGATGTCGGAAAAAGACAGATTTGCAATCCGTTACATGGTCGACATACAACGGGTTATGTACCTACTAATAGGGAGACGAGTACATTGGTAAGTATTTTATGTGTAACTCTTTAACTTACAAATGTTTATTGTTATTTCATAAATTTACTTTTGAATTTTAAATGCAATGTTTGGGCGATATCTATTGGCGCATGGCAGCTCCATTTGACGTCGAAGACATCCGCGAGCAAATGGCATGTTGCCTTACAGGATTAGATGCCGGAAACGAGTATGTGGCACATTCAGGCAAGAAACGTTCTCAACTCCCATTTGTGGAACGTGAAAAAATATCAAACACTACAAAACTGTAGATTGGACTATAAAAGAGCCCGTAATGATAGGCTGATGGCGAGCAAGATCATAGCGAGTGTAATCGCTACAAAAGTGCATGTTGATCCGCACTACAACATTAAACTTGTGATGCAAGACATATACGACAAATTTGGAATTAATGCCAAGTACAAATAGACGTGGTATGGACGTATGATTACCCTTGAGCGAAGATTCGGCAACTGGGAGGCGGCCTACAATGATTTACCCAATTTGTTGCATGCGATAAGAGCATCAAATCCGGGGTCAGTGGTAGATTTCCAATCAAAATCAACCGATCATGCTGGTGCGTATGAATTTCACTGTGTGTTTTGGGCTTTTAAAGCTTCCATTGATGGGTTCGAACATTGTCTGCCCGTAGTATCTGTTGACGGTACTCACTTGTACGGAAAGTTCAAGGTCCATCTCCTGGTTGCAGTCACCATGAATGCTAACCGTGAGATTTTCCCTCTCGCCTACGCAGTTGTGGAAAGTGAAAACACAAATAGTTGGTCCTGATTTTTGGAACACGTTATGAGTTATGTTGTTAGACCAAATTCGCATGTGTGCATAATATCATATCAGCATCCCGACATCCTAAGTGCCTATCGATCAGTACCTCAATTGAAAACCTCCCAAATTTCAAAGCGGTTCTGCCTCCGACACATTTGGAGCAATTTCATGACAAAATTCAGGAGCATTGAACTGAAAAACTTTGTTGGCAGGCCGAGAGTACACCCATCGTGGTGAGTGAATTTACCAAACAATGGCTCAAATTCGTGCTATGAATGAGAATGTGTTCACGTATTTGAACGATATTCCACATGAAAATTGAGCATTGTGCTTCGACGACGAACGACGTTATGGCATCCTCACAACAAATCTTTCCGAGAGCTTGAATAACGTTCTAAAGGATGTCGAACACTCTCAATCACCGCGCTGGTTAAGGCAACTTATAACAAAGTTGTCCAACTATTTGCCAACCGAAGTAGGGCCGATCAGATGTGGCGGTAAGCTGGGTTCCTCTATCCGCAAAATATATGTTTTTTTTTGGCAGGGAAAGATATTCTTGAACGTTCACAGAAAAGGTATAAGTACACCGTTGTCCCATATAATCGGACAACGGGAATATACTATGTTTCCATTCACGATTATCTACCAGTAACGGTAAATCTCTCACGTTGCGAATGTGATTACGGTTTTTGGAAGCAAAATGGATTTCCATGTGTGCACGCCTATACGACATTTCATTTCTTAAAAATAATTGTAGATCATCTCATCCCAGACGTGTATAAATTAGGTGTGTACATCCGTACGTATGCTATAGATATTATGCTTATGCATGACGCAAGTGTGATGCCTGATACCAGATATTTAGTGACACAACCTCAAAGTAATCGACGCAGTCAAACCGGTAGGCCTCAAAGGACAAAATTTACAAATGAAAAGGATATGCATCCGGGTAGGAGAGCACAAAAGTAAAAATTTATATATATATTGTAACTCTTTCCAATGAATAAAAATTTGTATTTCTTTGTCATGTTGTTATGCAAGAAAAAATGAGTAATAAAATATTTATATTTTTTATTTTTGCGGGAACATTGAATAACTTCCTAATACAATATCATTAAAGATGTATATTCACTAATACAATCACTAACCTAACAATTGGCTATTCCGACCAAACTAATTTTTCTGAATTTTATTACAACCCTATTTTAGTCGGGATAATTCATTTAGAATGTCGTAATTTCGTACCCTAAATGGAACTCATGTGTTTTTACATGTCAGGCTCAAGACAACTGTCATTTTTCATTTCCTAATGGGATAATGTTTAGAAAAAAAGAAGTGGTCAGAATGCCGCCCCATTCCAAATGTATAATGAAATTTAAAAATAAAGTTCATATGTTAGACTTTTATTCCATAAATATAACATTCTAAATGTGCCTGTATTGTGAAACGTACTAGGAGTTTCGTGGTACGTCAAATTTTGTGACAGAGCTATAGTGTGGTTTATAACGTCCACAAAAATTTGCAATTCTTCATATTGCCTTGAAGCAATCCGAAAAGAATGATCGAGTCGACTTCGGCTCATCGTGTATGAGTCATGCTCTAGAAGCAACATACAATGAATTCTTAAAATTTGGCAATTTTCCGTAAATTGATTGAATTTCAGAAAATCCCCACATGTTACATTTTCGAGAATACATATACGTTGGTGTATAGTGGTAAAATCATCTCCTTCACCAATGAACAGTGCTGTCATAGGAGGTATGGAATATTGTATTTCGTCATCTTTTTTATAATAGAGTCACTCCAGAAAAATAATCCTACTCTTACTAGATAGTAGACATTTGTAAATAGTAAAAGTTATAAATATATTAAGGGAGGAAGAAGTTTTTTGATTGTGTTGTAAATTCGAGAACGAACGGATGAGTTTTATAGGCTAAATGAGTGCCCCTATAATTGTCCCATTTTTTCATTTTTGGATGTCCCTTTATTATTGTCACATACCATATTTGGTAACATTTGTATGGCTCTAATTCATTCTTACTTGATTTTCACTTTATCAACTCATTATCAACCACATAATTCTACTTTTCTTAAAAATCACAACACTCCCTTCCGTAGTTCCGTACCAATATTAGGGGAACGGAGTATAAAACTTGGTGGAGGAGAGTACGTATATTTAAAATTTAATTGGAATGATGTTTTCTTACTATGGTATTGTCAATTAAAGTTTGTCTAAGTTGTTGGAGGTTTATGGTTGGAGTGATTTATGACTTGAATCTTTCCCTATATTTTTCAGCCTTCCGCGAGTCGAAATTAACCTTCACGATCAAAAGATTTTTTTTTCAAAATAGCCTAGATGGAATTGGCTATTTCGACCAAAAGAATTTTTTCGATTTTTTTCACGACCCTATTTTAGTCGGAATGACTCGTTCCGAATGCCGTGTTCTCGTACCCCATTTAAAGTAAAGAATATGTGGTTAAAATTAATTCTCTCTCATCTGCACAAATTTTAACCACACAGTTTTTATTTTATTAATTCTAATGAAAGACAATTTTGGTCAACCTTTTCGGGATGGAGGGAGTATCTTTTCGTCATTTCCACAAACTACGCGTTTTTTCGTACCCTAAACCAAAATCCCATCTTTTTGCACGACAGTTTTAAAACCCCCTTATTTTTTGGATTCCTCTAAATTACTTTTAAAAATTACTCAATTCACCTCATAATGCAATTTTTCTTGATGATAAAGGATAAATGGAATAATATGTACTTAGTAAGTTGTTTAAAAAAGATGTACTATCATCCGTTCCGTTTTAATTGCAACATGTTGAATTTACGCTATTCGCATGCTCTACTTTGACTACATTTTACGTTATTATTTTATGAAAATTATTTTTTAAAAAAATATTGTTCAATTCTTCTCATTACAAATTTTCAATAATATTTTTTTACTAATAGAATTAAAATATAATTATGATCAAAACGTGCGTTGGCAAATTTGAAATGTTGACCTTTACGACTAAAAAAGAACGGAGAGAGTACTAGTAAGTTACTATTGCCGCTAGTAAATAAGTACGGAGTATGGAGTAACAAATATCATTACCGCTAACCCTACTGCTCCCATGCCAAAAACCGCTACTGTTTCGCCAGCTTGAACGTCGGCTGTATTCCATACAGCTCCAACTCCTATGTTATCATAATCAATTTTTTATTTAGCCCAACCAGAAATAAAAAGGAAATATTTTGGATCATAAGTAATTAATTAAATCATATACTATAGGGCTTCATTATATATATACTAGATAACTCTTTTGTATACTTTCATTTTTTTGACAAATCTTTCTAACTTATTATATTATAGTATCTGTTCTGTTAAGGTCAACATCCTTGAACTAGGATGAGATTCGAACATGTGACCTCCACATGTGACCTCATCAGACCACAATGTGCTTGGCTTTGTATACTTTCATTAATTACAAAGGATTTTTGTGGAAATAATTTAAACTTCACGGAGTTTGAAGTTTTTAATAGTATGTATCTTTTAAGTCAAAGGATTCTTCTTAATACTCTTTGTGCATTATACTTTATGTACCTTTTTTTGAAAAAAATTCACTTTTGGTCTCATGACTATTATACCATTTTCACATATAGTCCTTTACTTTCAGATTATCCACATCTAGTCTGTGACCATTATCTCTCACCACCCCTCGTCCTTCTGGCCAATATTCCGACAAATTTAGTCCACTTATCTGCCTAAGAATCAATCTTTGCATTAAATTTTATTGTATAAGATTGGGTTTTTCATATCAATCTTTGCATTAAATTTGGTTTTTCATACCTAAAATATGCATTAAATTTGCCAGAATTTTGGTCGGGAGGACGAGGGGTGGTGAGGGGATAATGGTCACGGACCAAATATGGACAATCTGAAAGTAAGTGACTAAATGTGGAAGTGGTATAATAGTCACCGGACTAAAAGTGGAATTTCTTCCTCTTTTTTTACTCCAAGGGGAGTCTGGAGGGGGGCTGGGGGAGCCTGGAGTAATCTAAGCTGAAACTCAGTCCATTGAGTTTCGAAGCCAACACCTCTCGTAAGAAAGAGTGAATCGACGACCAGCTGGGTTAGACCGTTTCCTCATTATACTTTGTGTACTTTTAATTTACTCACGATTCGAGAGACACTAACGAGAAAAACTTTAAACAATACATAATTTACCGTGCCTCTTATACGAATTAGTCTGTATATCCAACTATCTAACCTTGGGACATTGAGTGAGAAAGAGTTAATTCTTCTTTTATACCAACTACTTCATCCCACTAACATATCCAGATATACTTAAAAATTAATTGATTACATTCAATTTGAGGTTCAAAATTCGTAATAAGTCAATATTATTATGTAACAACTCTGGTACCCATTTAAAAAATGGGCATCGTGCTCTACCGTTCAATTAATTGGTCAAGATTATTATATTATTTTTTATTTAGATTTAAATGATTCAAGTGCAACATTTTGATTGATATATATAGATAAATGTGTGTTACTATAAAATCTACCTATTACGTGGTATTAATTTTTGATAGATATCATTTGTATATTTAGTTATTTACTCGACTTGTCTTCGTCACCATTATTAATGCATTTATAGTCCCTTTATGCAGTTATGGAGAAGCTTTTTCCGATCGGACTTTCAAACACGTATGGAATTAAATTGAATGAATTGAATGCTACAACTTATCTCGTACGTAGTAGGTTTTAGAGGGGAATTATTAATTGTTTATTGGCTTTATTCTCTCAAGTCTCATTCATACTCCGATTAGAGGGGAATTTATTTTCCGATTGGACTTTCAATGTATTATGAACACGCATTAACTGTTTTTCTATTTTAAGATGTGGACAGTAGGTCCAATTTACGTAATATATATGTTAAGGGGTTTAAAGAATAGAAATTAATTCAAATAGGACTAAAACTATGGCATAAACCTAAAATAAGACTTGCTATGTTTTTATTCCAAAATAGGACCATATGAGTCCTATTGGAAACATACATATTTTGCATTCCATTCTTACCCTTCCATTAAATATGAATTAAAAATAGTCAAAAGCCATAATTAATTATATGGATGTCTTTCCCACCGCATTTACTACCTCCCAACACAACCAACTCCGGCCGATGAAAAAAATGTCATTTTCCTAGAAAATGCTATTTTTTCTGAAAATGCCAAAAAAGTGGCATATTTCTCTTTTCGAATGTCAACATTTTCATTTTTTCTGCCATAAATATGGCATTCGTAATGAACTTGGCCTTTTTTTCCCTGGTGACTGGAGGTGGTGGTGCTGAGGCGGCAGAGGCGGCAACGATTTTTTTTTTTGAGTTTTTCTTTTTTTTTAATTTTTTTTAATTTTTTGAAAAAAAAAATTATTTAAATTTTTAATATCGAAATGTTTTTCTTAGTTTTTTAGTATTTTTTACGAATTTTTATTATTTTTTATTATTTTATTAGGAATTAAAACATTTTAATAGTTATAAGGGTATAATTTTCCAAGGTACACATAATTAGTCCTATGCAAACATAGTTTATTTTTTGGTCCTATTTGTGAAAAGTGAATGACTTTTAGTCCTATTTTGATAATTAACTCTTTAAAGAATTAAAGTTACAATATTAATTAGAGAAATTCTCAAAATAGGAATTAAAATGTGTTAAAAGTCCCACATCCTCTAAATAAAAAAGTAATAAAATGGTACTCCCTACGGTCTTTAATTAACTTTACATTCTCCTTTTTGGGCCGTCCCATATTAAACTTTACACTTCCTTATTTGCCTTATTTGGCAAACAAATCTACACCAAACAGTGCAAAACAATGCAAAACAGTGCCAAACAGTGTCAAACAGTGTATTCTACAGTAAAGTCAAATTTATTTCATTATATATGTGAAGTCAGAGTGTAAACTTCATTACGGACCGGAGGGAGTATATTAAGATCTTGAACTAATCTTCCTATCAATTGATTTTTTTAGGATGAACCCCAAGTTTTAACATAATATTCGAGTCAAATCAATTCATAATCATGACGCTCTAAACAAAATATCTTGTAATGAGGAGGGGTGTTGATATCTCACACCGGTATATTAAAAAGTAATAAAGTGCTATATTAAGATTTTGAACTATTCTTCTTATGAAGTTTGAAACTCATGTTTTAACAAAATGTAAGAATACCTAATTGTCACACTTATTATATTTTTCTCTAATTTTCAATTAGCCCTACATATTTTGTCATTTTTGTGCTACTTCTTATACTTTCTTTACACTGTTTACTACCATATCATATATAGTTTCTCATCTAAAATATCTAATCCACAACCTCAAAAAGTGTGGATATAATTTAAAAATGTGTTTAGGTGATTGAAATTAATAAGGGTCCCAAATTATTCTCCGCTTCCTCCCTTTTAAGGGAGGAAGTGTATGTCAAAAGCTAATAAAATAATGACAGATACTCCCTCCGTTCCTAAATAAACTTCCAACTTTCCTTTTTCGTTCGTTCCAATTAAAACTTTCACTTTCCCTTTTTGGTAAAGAATTTGTGGTTCACAACATTTCTTACATATTTCTCTTTCCTCTGCACAACTTTCCACCACACAATATCCACTATCTTAAACTTTGTGCCAAACCCATTTGAAAGTTAAAATGGGAACGGAGGTAGTATATGACAATAATAAAACAGGTTGGGAGAAAAAATTAGTCACATTTTTATCCGTAACAAATTCTATTTCAACAACAGTGTAAGGAAGAAAAAGAAGGGTAAATTACCGGAAGAGACACCGCAGCTAAGCAAAGTCATGTTTTTGAGGGGAGCGATGGGGTCAATCTTGGCAACGCAAGCAGAATTGATGACAGTGTATTGAGAAAAGGTGGAAGTGTTGAGGAAATGGTATATTGGTTTGTCATCTTTAGTGGAGAATCTGCATTTCCCGTCTCCGACCATCACGCTTCTGCCGGGATCCACCCTGAATTTCTCGCATAGGTTGGTTTTGCTGGACTCGCAGTACTTGCAGCTGCCGCATTCTCCGTTGAACACCGCCACCACCTTGTCTCCGGCTTTCAAGTCCCTCACACCTTCTCCCACGCTCTCTACCACACTGCATATGTAGAATCAGAGGTGGAACCAGAACACTGAACCGGACTAGACAGATACAAAGTATAATTTTGAAAAAAAGTACACAAAATTTTTACCATAGCGATATATACATTTTTTAAATTTGGGATGGACCATAATAGAACGTAATAATTATATCATTATTACTGTTTTATTAGAGCCATATAGTGTTATCTTGACGTTACCAGATAGTGTAACAAGGATTAGGTTGGGTTTTGGCAGTGTCAAGAAACTGATCTGGAGTTTGAACAGCACCATCAACGTAAGCATCAAGACCAAGACCAACCAATGGAGAGTGGACTTGGCACTTCCAAACCGGGAAATTGGATGAAGTGAGCTTGATAGGAAAATTGGTAGTAGCGGTGAGGGGAACAACAGTGGTGGTGACAGTGATAATCACGTTGAAGAGAATGGCAGAAAAAAAATAATAGCTATGCTCGTTAGAGAAGAAGGCTCGTGATACCATAAAAAGTATAGATGTGCTGTATATTATTATGATGAGCAAATGCTCATTATATACAGTTGTCTAATGTACATGATAAGAAGGTTGAACAACCGTAGCTATTCTAAAGCAAGAGATAAGTACAATAATATATTTACAATAATAATGATATAATTATTACGTTCTATTAGACCATGACAGGGTTAGAATGATTATCATGACCGTGATTTCTTCATTTGTTCAAATTAAATGTTCATTTTGGTAAAAGTTACTCCCTCCGTTCCAAAATAAACTTCCAACTTTCTTTTTTCATCCGTTCCAATTAAATTTCCACTTTCTTTTTTTGGTAAAGAATTTGTGGTTCACAACAATTCTTACACATTTCTCTCTCATCTGCACAACTCTCCACCACACAATACCCACTTTTCTTAAATTGTGTGCCAAAGTAGGTTGGAAGATAAAATAGGAACGGAGGTAGTAAATTTTATCAAAGTTAAATTTATTTTCAGCAGTGAAATTAATTAATCTTGAGTGTTAGATAAGTTTTAAATGTGAGAAAATAAGTTTAATTGTGGTGTGTATCTTAAATAAAGTCAAAACTAATGGTTGATGTTAATAGTTAGAACTAGGGTTGGACTCGGGCCGGATCGGGTCCGGGTCGGGCCTAGGACCGGGCGGGCCGTCAGTTCAGGAATGGTGGACCCAAGACCGGCCCGGGTAGCCACCGGGTCTGGTCCGGGTTCGGCCTCCGATTTGGGTATTTTTTTTCTTTCCTAACCCCCCCTCACCCCCCACCCTCCCAAACCCCTCCAAACCTCTCCTAACCATCAACCCCAACCCGGGTGGAACCCCAAAAAATGAAAAAAAAAATCAATTTGGCCCGGACTCGGGCCCGACCCGGCCGGGCCGGTTTGCCAAATGTGAGACCCGAGCCCGGACCCGCACTACTCACCGGGCCTAGGCCCGACCCGGACCCGGACCCGAGAACTGGGCCGGTCCCGGTCCCGCACAGTAGCGGACCGGGCCGGGCCACGGGCCGGGTGGCCCGACCCGAGTCCAACCCTAGTTAGAACTCATAACCGATGCAAATATACATTAATATGTATAATTAGAGAGTACACAAATTTCGGTTCAAATGAGAAATTCATTTAATGTGAGAAATAAAAATGAATTAGTTTGATTTGATCTCTTACACAAAACATGACAAAATTGTATTGCACCTGGATTTGTATTTACACTAAAACATATTCATGTTGTACCAAGGATTTGAAAAATGTTTTATTGAAATAATTTCATATTGCACTAAAGATATGGGATGCGGGTTTTTTCACAAATATTAAGAAAATGACACTTTTCCAGATTTCGAGGGAACCTACCCGGACCCTTCATGTCCCAGAATACGCGGGAAAACATTGTGAGCTTCATTCTGCACGCATTCAAATTAAAACTCAGATTATTATATCATACGAAGTAGAGTTGGATTTGGGATACACACTTTTTGATGTACACACTGTTTACACATGTCTGTGTAAGGTTTTTTATGTCTATACAGACATAACGTATTTTAAGAGGCCTATAATTATTATACACACATGACACATAAAAGAATTGGAGTGAGATGTGTGTTTGGTAAGGATGCAATTAGGAAGATCATGCCCGCTGTGCGCGAGCGTGTGTGAAGGCACCAAATTTACTTTCTTTTACGTAGTACTACGTATAACACAAGACTTCGGGAGGGTCTGCAAATTAAATGCTTTTGTTTTCGAAAAAAAAAATTTAAGTGATTTTTAAGGTTGATAGTGTTTGAAAAAAGTGATTTTGAAAAGTAAAGTTCGTTTGATACTTCGTAAAATATACTCCCTCCGTCCCGAAAAGGTTGAATAATTTTTTTTAGATGTCCCAAAAATATTTGCTATTTACATTTAAAGTAATACTCCCGAAAAGGAAGTATGTTTTTGTGTAATATAAAAAGTAAAAAACAATTTTGAGCTAAAAGATGAGAAACGCTTTTTAAGTAGAAATTGTCATTTGAAAACACAAATTTTAGCACTAATTTCATCTACTTCCATTTTTAGTTAAGTTGAATTATACACTTATTTCTCTTTTTGAATTACGTTTTATTTTTTAAAGTGATATTTTTTTTACACATGGTTAAATTGAATTGGTCTCATCATAAATTTTGAATTTGTTAATGGTAAAGTTGTTCATCATCAAACCCTTTTCGGATTTAAATGAATCCAAGTAATGGTCTATAACTGTCCAAGTCTATTTGTTTCAAAGGTTAGATCTTAAACTTGTTCCAAAAGACTATATACTCATTTTTTAACAACTATAATTATCAGAGACCAGACCATAACAGATCACACCAAATTAACCAGATCAACCTTGGATAATTATAAAATAAACAAAGACCAGACGTTAACCGGGCCAGATCAATTATATTCGGATCAGAAAATTTCAATTCAAGTAAAAACATGTGAGATCATCACACCAAATAGGGATATGCTCGGTAAATACACTCCTTTTTGGATTGTCATAAAAATATGAAGACTTCTTTAAATTGAACCCTCCTAATTTTTTACTTTTTTACATTATCCATTTATCTATCTATTCATCTTTTTTGTGAGTTTTTATTTCTTTTTCTTACTTTTTAGAGTTTAGAATTGTAAAGTACAGGGCAACAATTTTATTTTTATTTTCTTGATCCAAAAGGTGGAATCTCACACCCCGGAGCTCCCCACACCCCGACCAGATAGGGTACGTGAGAGGATGTAAATCACGGTGACTCAGTCAGCGAAGTGACAGTAGATCCATATAATCATGCGCGTCAGAGGTTCAGCCCATTTCAGAGGTGGTAACCTTAACACGGTCGTTGTGAGATTTGGACCTTAATCCTTTATCCAAATTTCTCACACTCACTTAGCTACCCCGTCTGGGTTTATTTCTATTTTCTTAGATCGTGGGAGGGGTAGTAATATTTTTAATGATCTAATATTAAAACTACGGAGTAATAAGTAGGGAGTAGTATTGTACCTCCCCTTTCAAGACACTGAGATCTGTATGGCAGATAGAAGCGTAAAGGATCTTCACTCGGACCTCCGATTCCTGAGGCGGCGCCACCAATACATCCTCCACAACCAACGCCTGCCCGGGACCATAAGCCACGGCAGCTGCAGGACTTGGCCGGAGGAGTCAGATCAGATAAAGAAACTTGTCAACTCTCCAATTCATCGTCAGCATAAAAAGGTCAGAAATAGAGAAAAACAAGGCACGTGGAGGGCAGGCGTGCATTATGAATTACTACTGTAGTAAATATTAATGGTGGTGAGAGAAACCTTTGCAAGTTATGACCTTGCCTGCAGTATCATCTGTATTGGACGAGCAGCCATTAATGGCGGAATTCAAGTTAGTTTCAGAACCCATCTCTGCCATTGTATGCACGTACTATACGTAGAAGAGTGTGAAAATTGCAAGGCGACAAAAGCTTATTTATAGCGGTGGAAATCTTGCCTTCGTCAGTGGTTTAATTTGTGGGTGAAGCTTTTTTTTTCTTTTAATCTGTTTCAGAGACAATATTTTGTTTGTCCAAAACATTGTCTATGAATCGATGTTCACAGACAAAAAGAAAAGCTTTCACAGACATCGATGTGTACAAAAGTGTGTATAAGAGTGTGTACAAACATCATTTTTGTTAATTTTCATATCGGTGGGCGTAACTAAAAATGCAAGCGAGTGACAGAAGGTCAGGTCCCGGGTTCGAATCCCGGTAACTATGATCAGGGCCGTCTAATGAATTCGGAGACCCCGGTTTCAAATGTAAAATCGAGGCCCTACATTAATATAAAAAAGTATCAAAAAAATTCAATCCAAATACATATACTTAAATTAATTGAGTACTCATTAAATAATGTAATAAAAAATTTCTAAAATTGAATTAATATTTGATTTAAAGCAACACAACTCATTATTCAAGCAATTTGAGTAAAGAAAACTAAAACGATCAACGAAAAAAATGGTGAATCTATATTTTTCTTCCTCACTAACTGTGTTTTACTGATCAGCATTAATATATGTAGTATAATATTACGGAGTATTATATAATACTAATAAAATTTTGAAAATTTTGGGCCCCCGTAAAATCGGGGGCCCTGTTCTGGATAACCTATTGAACCCCCTAAAAACGGCCTTGACTATGATGAGGGTTTACTATGCTAAAAATGGATAGGGCCTCTGCAAGTATCGATGACAGAACCCTACTCTCTATCTGTCAGATTTGGATTATAATCCAATTTCCATCCTCCCAACATACCGTCCAGATTGCGGGGCCCTCAGGGATGAGGTGTCATCCTCTTTCTTTTTCTTTTTTGTTTTTTTTGTTTAATTTCCACAACGTTAACGAGTCAAGTCCATCACTTGTGGGGCCTTCCAGTTCCACATTAAACTGCGGCTTTATTAGTTTTGATATAAATGGAAAGAGAGAGAGGCCAAATTTAGGTAAATTTACATACGTACCGTACATTTTATTAGGTATACCATGCCACAGGAGGTAGGTCCATAGGTATGGAGGGTCAATAGGTATTGAGTTCGAAACCTCTCACATGGCTTTGTTTTTTATTTCAAACATACGCCGAGCCGCAGGCTGAGCAGCAACAGCTTGTTGCTTTGATGATTTTTTTTAGCATCTTTTATTGATTCTAGTTTAATCATAACAAATATCAATTAATAATTCAATCGGGAAGGCAGTCAAGTGAACTTTTGAATATAACCGTGCAGATAAACAGCACAGTACATTTCAGAAAATAATTTGACTGTCTTCATGGTTGAATTTTTATTTAAAATTTGGTATGAGTAAACTAGACTTAATGAAGAAGATGCTAAAAAAATTCATCAAAAAATTCCACCGGGAACCACCCCCAAAAATCATCAAAAAACCAGTGAGTTGTTTTGAACGAGTTATTGATTAGTCATGAACAGAGGAGAAAAGATAAAATTATGTTCATGGATTTGAATTCTATTGACGATTCATGAACGCGAGCGTATATCAGTGTAGAAAGATCGAGAATTTTAATTGCTACGGTACAGTTTTAAGGTTTGTCAACGTACAAGTTTAACCATTAATATCTTTCATTCATTATTATCAAAAAATAAAAAGTTTAGATTTTAAAAATTTTAAATGAGAGGAATTTGACAATATTTTTTGAATTTAATTTATAATACATTAGTAAAAAAATAGAGTCAAAGTAGAATACATGAATAGTGCAAAAAGTCCAATGTTGCATTTAAAAAAGAATGGAGGTATTATTTTTTTCTACCAAATTAATAAATTAAATTTGTTGTTCTAAAAATGGATCAAAACTATAATTATCAAAACTTTGGGTCACATTTTAAATAAAAAAACAGAAAAGAAGATGGCGCAAGTATTGGCGTACGCCATATATGGCGTAAAGCCAAAGTCACTTCCCCAAAATAGTGAAATGGTGAAAGGGATGGGGTAGCTGTTGGAGCAAAAAAATTGACAAATCCACCATTTTGGTTTATGATTTGGTGATTGTTCGATGAGCTCTTACTCACCCAAATAATATTCCCCAATACATCAGCCTAAGAGTAGATATTCTAAATTAAAAGTAACATTTTTCTAGCTACAAATGATCTAAGTAAATAAGTGAGTGCTTGAAGCTGTCATAAGTTATTTTTTCGGCTAATCACTTTTATATTAAATTTTATATTAAATCAAATGTTATAAGCTATTTTTTCGGCTGATCAACCTAACTTTTATATTGAATTATTGATTCTGTGAATTCAATCATTTAATAATCAAAATAAGTAAGGGAACGAGTGATATCGTCTTTGTATAAACATTATTGTGGGTCACATTTTTATTCATAATGAATAAAATCCGTTTTGTAATTGAACCTCAAAGTATTCTCATATTTTAATGACTGTAGTAAACACGAGACCTCTTCAAAAAAGAGCCCTCCAGACCTGTGGCCGTCTCCAATGAATAAGGATTCCAGTTTTTGCCGTCTTGTGTGCGGCGTTTAGATTTAGTCGTCCTTTGGAGCGACGATTAGGTTTGTGATAGAGTATATCTAGAGAGAAGTGAGAGCTAGAGAGAGAAGTGCAATAATATGCTTCAATAGAATGAATTTGTAACCCCTATAACTACTCCCAAGGGGAGTATTTATAGAGAAAATTAGGGTTGGGCTCCCAAGCCTTGGGCTTGGGAGGCCCATTTACAACTGGACCGCTACTGGGCCGAATACAAAGCCACTAATGGGCTGTACAAATGAGTAAGTATAAAATCCGATTCTGTGAGGTCTTCGTGGCCGACGAGGGCGTGGCTGACGAGGGCACGGCCGACGAGGGCACGACCGACGAGGGCACCCGGGTTCCTTGGACTCAGGACCATAATCCGAGTTGGTCCCTTTTCGGCCGACGGGGGCGTCCTGGCCGACGAGGGCGCCACTCTGTGCCTTGTGCTTTCTGTTCTTCCGAGTATGTGGGTCCGGGGGCTCAGACCCATATACTCCATCAGGAGTCCCCCACTCTCTAAACTGAGACGTAGACGAAGTGAAGGAGAGTAGATTCCTATGCTTTGGTGCCCTTGGCCGTTATCTGTTCCTTGTTGTGGACAGGGGGCCGTTGTTTACTTGATGTCATTGTTTTTGGACGATGAGTGTCCTTCTTTCAATGGTGGCCGTTGAAAGGCACATTTTGCTTGGGCGTTGATGGTTGAAGTTTGTGTTCGGGCCGATGAGGCCACTGAAGTTATTCCTTGCTTTGAGGACGATGACGTCCTTTCCTTTGGGTGGCCGATGAGGGTGTTTGCACACTCCTTTTGGCCGTTGCCGGTTGGCCTTCGTGTTCTTGGCCGAAGGGCACGTCATGATTAATTGTTGGCGGAGGACGATGAGTGTCCTTGCCTCTAGTGGCTTGTTGGCCGTCGCTATTGACGTTATGGGCCTTTGGCCGATGAAGCTCCGTTGTGCTGTATGGATAATGTGGCCATGCTTTGTGGTCACATTCATGTTCTTTGTAGTGTTTCCTTTTTGTTTTGCTGAGGCCGGTGTAGTCCCCCAGTCCCCCACTGCTTCAGGCCGGTGTAGTCCCCCAGTCCCCCACTGCTTCAGGCCGAGGAGTGTGAGGGGTGAAGGAGTTGCTTGAGTCCCTGGCCGAAGCGGCCTCTCCGTAGTCCCCCTGAATCCAACTCTCATGGCGATTTTCTGGCCAAGGTAACCCTGTGGGAGAACCCTTGTGCGCAGATCGCTTGTAGAGAGTCATCATCAAAGATCATGACGAGGAGCCGATGGCTTGTGGGCTCTTGGGTCCTTTGATCTTGTGGCCGTTACGTTCCTGGCCGTTGCCGTCTCCTTATTGTTTGGCAGTTGTGATCTTGGCGAGCAAGTGGGACGTTGTGGGCGCTTGCTGACATTTGTAAAGCCAGTGAGCGTGTGTAGGCCGTAGAGTCCGTCCTGCCAGTGGGCTGTTGATATTGAGTTTGGCCCGTTGGTGACGTGGTGGCCCCCCATTGGTGGCCGTTGTTGTGGCCATTGGGGGGTGCCACGTGTAGTGACCGTTGGGTGGGGGGTTCTATAAATGCCCCTCCCCCTCCGACGAGAAAACGTATTTGCATTCTGAATTTGTCGAAGTGCTGGCCGATTTTCTAGAGAGATAAACTCCCAAGCCTGTTCTTCGTGTTCTTCGTTGTTCAAGGTTAGTGTTCATCGCGATCTTCCTCACTTTTCATACTTTGCTTCCTAGGTTGTTGATCTAGTGTTAGGCGTTTGAACACCCTTAGATCTTAAGTTAGTCTCCTTAGGCCCGTAGTAGTAGTTATGAAGAGCTTGAACGAAGACTACTACCCCTACGACGACCAGCCCTCCACGAGGTCGCTTGACTACGAGGTGCTCGAGGAGTTCGAAGAGGAGATAGAGCGTTTAAGTCCCTACAAATCCGGAGAGCCGGTGGACGAGGAAGGCGAGGACGAGGAGTCCGCCTCCTCTTCAAAGGGTGAGGACGTAGGTGCGTCCCGAGTGGTGGACGGGGCGTCCACTTCTGCTGTCATTCCGTGCCCGAGGCCGGTGTCTGCCGTGAAGGGAGCAGCTAAGCCGAAGAGGGTGAGGACGCCGAAGAATGGGCCGGGTCTCTCCTATCTGGACCTCACCAACATATTCCTGATCAAGCCGGAGAGCAGTGCGGCCGACTATCTTGTTGCCCAGATGTATGTGGGGCCGTTCGGGCGGGTTAGGGCACCCAGGCCGACGGACCATGTTCTACTTCCGCCACCGGGATACTTTGGAGTATACCCGATGAGTTTTGCTAAGGGGTTGAGGTTCCCCCTTCACCCTTTCATCATTGAGTATCTGGACATGGTGGGGCTTCCTCCGGCCTTGCTGACGCCGAACAGTTATTCCTTGATGGTGGGCTTTTTACTCCGGTGTGAGGAGCTGGGCTACAGGCCGACAACGGCCCTATTCATGAATTTGTACCAGATCGGCCGAGGAA